AGCCATTGTTTCCTGTCTTGTCTTCTGGAGCTTTGGAGAATAGTTTGACTCCCTCTTCTTTGTAGCAACCCCTGAGATATCAGAACACTGCTATCATGTCTCCCCTTGTCCTTCTTTCCATTAAACTAGACTTACCCAATTCCTGCAACCGTTCTCCATATATTTTAGCGTCCAGTCCCCTAATCATCTTTGTTGCTCTGCTCTGCACTCTTTCTAGAGTCTCAACATCTTGTTTACAATGTGGCGACCAAAACTGGATGCATTACTCTGGGTGTGGTCTTACTAAGGCTTTACAAGCCTTTTCTTATATATAGATTCTTATTAATGAAGGTAAATATACCTGTCCCGGTTATGTTTGCAGGATCCAATCTGGGTCAGTCTCCGCAATAAGCAGCTTAGTCTTCCGAGCTTTAAGGATTCATGCTGGAGCCCATCCTCAGGGAACTTCTCTCTACCAGAGTGTGTATAAACATTTATATTCATTTATATGTATTTCCCACTTCTGAACCGCCCATCATCCTCAGAGAGGGGCTCTTCTCTTTCCTTCCACCTTTCCAATAGAATAGAAAAGAATCACAGAGTTGGAAGGGATTTTGGAGGTCTTCTAGTCCAACCCCCTGCTTAGTCAGGAAACCCTACACCACCTCAGACAAATGGATATCCAACATCTTAAAAACCTCCAGTGTTGGAGCATTCACAACTTCTGGAGGCAACTTGTTCCACTGATTAATTGTTCTAACTTTCAGGAAATTTCTCCTTATTTCTAGGTTGCTTCTCTCCTCGATTAGTTTCCACCCATTGCTTCTTGACCTGCCTTCAGGGGCTTTGGAGACTAGCTTGGCTCCCTCTCCTTCAATATTAAATTAAGGGAGGCGGATCTAATTAAATTTGAATGGATTCCCCCGCCGCTACTTTGTTTTACATCTCCTGGCAAGTCTCTCAAGGCAATTCAAAAGTTCATACTTAATAACAGATTTTTTTTTTTACACGTTAATTGCTAATTCAGGGGAACAGCAGGCACCGAGTCCCTGTGGAAGGGGAGGTCTCCTGCGGGTCCTTTCCCAGCTAAGAGGGAGCAAATCCCGGGGATCTTTTGGGATCGAGCCGCTTGATTGCTCTGCAAAAAGAAAAGCGGGGGATGGGGGGAAAAGCCCCCACCCTTTTTAAAATATCCAGCCTGTTTTCTCTCGGAAGGACAGGAGCGTCCTCCTCCTCCTCCGCCTTCGGCCACTCACCCCTTTTTTTGCACCGCTGCTGCTTCCCCGCTCCGGAGCACGAGGGAGCCCGACGAGTCTCCGAAACCACCGGGGGGGAAATGCCCCGTTGAATAACCCAGGCCGGAAGTCCGGCATTGGGGGGGGGGTCTGCCCCTCCCCCTCCCCGCTCCTCCCCCTCAACTCTATGGTCTCTGGCAGGAGCCCCTCTAAGATGTTGCAGCAGCTCTGTCGATTTGCGGAGGCGTTTTTTCACTCCCTGCCCTCTCCCGGCGGAAAAAGGAATTCCTATCATTCCACAATGGGAAAACGCTCCGTTGAAGAACCCAGGCCGGAAGTCCAGCACTGGGGAATGGTTTGCTCTACCCCGCCTTCCCCGCTCCTCACCCTCAGCTCTATGGTCTCTGGCCGGAGGCTGCAACTCTGTCGCTTTGCGGCCGCGTTTTCTCACGCCCCCTCCCGGCGGAAAACAGGAATTTTAAAGGCTTGACATTAACTAGCTGCTATTATTATTTTCTTTTCGTTTTGAACAAAACACCCCTTTGGTTGTCGGTTGGCTGTTTTTTCACTGGGTCTATAAATTGTGAGGTGTTCCCATGAAACAGCTGTGTGCATTTAGGATGACTCAAGGCAGCTTGTGTTTTTCAATGGGGTAGTTCTCAATTTACCACGGTCCATTTGGTTCAAAGCAGTGGTGGGTTGCTAATCCCGTTCCAACCGGTTCGGTTGGAACGGGGCCGGCAGCGTCCTCGTGCATGCGCGCAGCTCACGCATGTGTCTTAGCG